GCGTGGGCTCTGGTGGGTGGCCTCAGCATGAGTGGGCACCCACCGAGCCTCCCTGGTGCTCGGTATTCCAGCAAGGAGCAGAACAGCATTGCCAGAACCCGTCACTCCCCCAGGGTGACAACCCCCCAGGTATTTTTGGAGGCGCCTGCCTTTAGCTGTCACACACGACTCCCAGCCAGGGACCATCACCAACACAGCCACCAAGGGGCCGGGGTCTGGCTGTGCACCCTGCGGTTATCCTGTGCTGGGTGGGACACAGACACTGCTGGGTGCCCAGGACAAGGACAAGAAGATGCCTGTGCTGTGGAGTATCACACATGTGCCTGTGATACTCCACCTTTGCAAGGGGTTCCCTGTCACAGACCCATTGCAGCATAGGGCAGCAGCCTCACCCTTGTTTTAAGATGAGGGTTAAGCACGTTGTGTGCTGATGAGCTGCCATGGGCCAGGGCTGTGAGGGTGTAGGGGATGGCAGTGACCTTGCTCTTAGCCTTGCGTGGCTGTTCATCGCCCTTCTTGGATCTGGGCTGTGCAGCTGTGTGTGTGTGTGTGAAGCACTTGCCAGAATTAAATTCAGCTCCCTGAATCAATAGGAGCTTTCCAAAATTTTGGATGCTCAATCAGGAGCTGCTCTGGACCAGGCTTGATGCTGGCTCAGCTCCACACCGGGAGCCAGCCAGGGCTGCCATGTTCAGCGAGCCAACTGTGCTGCCACTCACGGAGCGGGGACATTGAGTCACAAACCATTTGTGTAGTGGGGACACCAGGCCACAAACCCTCTGTGTAGCCTGCAAAGAGTCTACTACTAAAATACCCCCTCAAGAATCCCTTGGGGGGAATTGGCATTCCTCCTCCTCCTGCTGCAAGAGAGCAGGCAGGGCAGTACTGCTTGTTGCAGGCAGATAAGGAAAGAATGTATTCTCTATCCCTCTGAAATTCCCATTTCTCCCTCAGTCTCTGTCTACACATGGAGCTTTTGAGCCATGGCAGAAATTTTCCAAGAGAAATATGGTTAAAGAGGGACCTTGGCAGGAAAAGGCTGGTGTCACTTGAAAAATGTGTGCAGATTACACCAAGCTGTTATTAAAAATAAGTGCTGTGCTGTTCCCAGCCTTTGCTTTCACTGATTTTTCTGGTAGTAATTGCACTTCTCCAGGAAAGGTTTCATATATACAGGGGAAAGAATTTACTTCCACTTCATCTGCAAATGGGTTCAGTGCCAGCCCAGCATCCCAAAAGTGCCTGGGGAAGCTCAGGCTGCTCATCCCTCTGAAATTCCAAAGGGTTTTGAGAAAAACCTTGAGCCTCGAGATGCATGAGGAGGGTTGGGGAGATGGTGTGGTCCCACACATCCCCATGCCTGCTCCATGCTCCAGATATCCTCAGCTTTACAGCTTCCAGCATCACTCCTGGGTTATCACTCAACCTCTCCCATGGTGGAACATCTCTTAACAAGCCCCATCAACCCTGTCTTGCGATTTGGTCTGACTTTGGGTCTTTTAAAGTCTGATTGAGGAGTTTCCACAGTTAAACAGGAGTTAGTTAGCAGGGAGGCAAAGCCCTAAACCCAGACTATAGCTTGGGAAGTTGAAAGCACGGGACAGGGGTTCG